TATATATATATGTATATATGTTTCCTGTTTTTAGCTGCAAAAAATGTCACTTCTGCAAATTCAACATGCCGTGCATTCAGAGATGCCCTTCTGCATCTCTTGGTTGTAACAAGTGGTTATTTAGGGTTTTGCTGCTTTCCTGTCACCTTGAAGGCTCATGCATACTTGAGCACTAAAAGCACTTTATACAATACACTCTATTCATTCATACAAGCACTTTTTTCAAGCACTTACTATCTAACATTTTCACACAAATACACCAGGAGCAACTGCAGGGTTCAAGGGAATCAAACCAACAACCTCCCAGTTGCTCTACCTTCTGAGCTACAGCCACCCCTAAAGGCCATTCTTCTCTAAACCGTGGATTCAGTAAAGCATTTTCACTCAGAGAACTTCAGTTTGAGTTTTTTTCCCCTCTTTTTTTCGATCATGCTCTCCAAATGTTGTGCAGGAAGGTCTGCAGAGTAGATCAGCAGTTTCTGTAATACTTGTCTGTCCTGTAGCAACAGCCAAGCCATGTTCAAAGTCATTAAAATGACCTTTCTACCACATTTTGATGCTTAGTATGAACTTCATTATGTCATGTCATGCCTATATGGCTAAATGCACTGAACTGCTGCAGTGTCATTGGGTGATTTGATATTTGCAATGACAAGCAGTTGAACCTGGTGTACCCAATAAAGTGGCCAGCGAGTGTATTTTTTTTATCCACCATAATAACATAAACACACTTTTTTTTACTGTAATATATTTCAGCTTAGTTAAGAGCCACAGCTAGTTTTCAGTGTCTAGCTACGTAGCTAACGAATCCAGATGATTTACTGCAAACTAAAATTTTTATCTAAGTCTGTCCTAGTTTCGCTTGACAGCTTAGGCTATAAAAACAACCCCATTTTTTATCTGTTTTGTGTTTGACAGTGTAACCAGTCAGCCCTAAAAGGCCATAATGGACTTCAGGTAAGGGCTGCACCACCCTCTCACCTGTCTGGGACTAAATGATTGCCAGTGGTTTATAGATGTTGCAGTGGTATCAAACAACTAAAAGTATATCTTAAATACTGTGTGAATAATGTGGTACTCGAAGTTTACTAGCCCATATGCAGAGCTAAGAAAATCCAGTAACACCAGAAATAAGGTGTGACTAGTTTTGCTACTATGGATAACAAACACAATCGACAACACTTAAGTTGACAGCCAAGGGTAATGCCCAGTTTTTAAGAAAGACATTCAAATCTCCACATCAATAAATTGGGTTTGTTCTTTGTTCACAGTTCACTAAGTTTTAAGAAAACTTAATTGTTTGACAGTTTTTGCAAGATCTTACTGACAGGCAAACTAACTGCATATCTCAGCTGAGGCGCCACCTCATGATAACGTCAGAGCACCGGAGAAAAAATAGGACTTGCATTGTTACGTTAGACCTTTTATTAATGTGTTGATAGATTACTGCAAGGTAGGTGTGGAGCTTTCATGTTGCTAAATGAACTGTAAATTGCAAGGTCATTGTAATTGTAAGGTCTGGATGTTCACACTTTGGCGCAAATCAGCTGTGAACACATTTTGACATTTTATACATTTTGTTACCTTATGTGAAGAACGTCAAACATCTGCCCATTTACAGAGTGCAGATAGAGAGCCACATTAACAGCAATACGACTCTTTCAATATTCGTCTCACTATTCACCTTCATCTCAACTCTGTTGGTTTGGTGGTCTCCACCAAATCCTGAGGTTACTATTTAACTCTTCTGGAGTTGGTTTCTCCACTTACATTACCTTTGTACGTTGTTGGTGTCTTTAATAAAAAAAAAAGAGAAAAGCAATCCTTCCCAAGGAACACAGTCATTACATATTACATATTTATTATCATATATATTCATTACAAATATATATATTTTTAATATTAAAGTATAATTATTGTTATTCTCCATGAATTTTCCAGCTTACTGTTTTACAAAAAGGCTGAAAAATTTGTAAAGCACAAAAGGAAATTTCTTCTTAGTGGTTCACTGTTATGACTGATTGATTTCTGAGGTTTCCAATAATTTTTGGAATTCTCTTCAGTTTGCTTTGCCTAATGAGCTAGTTAAACTCAAACTGTTTGAGGAACTGTTTGAATTATTACATATGTAATTTTGTTAACTGAGTACTCATAATTAAAAAGAAAAACTCAAGTAAGTGAATTTATGAATGAGGACTGAGTAGGATGAACTTAAATGGATTTATTTCACTCAGATGCTAAATTTTATTTACTTAGTTT